TTATTGCTAAATATGATGATAGCAATGATGACATCGATAATACTGATAACGAATCACTGATAGATGGAAAAAAGCTGCAAGCAATGATTCAGTCGAAAAATATATATGTAAGATTTAAAAAAAACAAAAATTCACATTACACTGTGCACTGAAGTAGCTTCGAAGTACAAAATATTTAAAAAATTTACATTTTATTTTTTTCTTTGTTATTTATCTAATCTGCACGAACTATTTGCTGTAACTGATGTTATCACTTTGCCATCTATCTATACATTCATCTATCTATCTAATCTATCTACTCGTTTATTTACCTATATATTCAAAATATGCTTCAAATTTAATTTTTTAGGTGATTCCTATTATAATTAGCAATTTTTTTGAGTAAAATACCGGGAAAGGAAGATTGGTTCAAATCATCAAAAAATTTGTATTGAATAGTGAGAAGTGGGCAACGGCAGTTGATTGCTTTCTTCTTCGATTTTTTCATCGTTAGTTGAACTTGATCTTTAATCAATTTTTACTATATTTCACTTCTCCAAATCTTTTTCTTACTTATGATTGTAACTGATTGATTGATTGACTAATAATTATCACTACTTTATCACTATGGTCAGATTATATCATTGCTTACAACTTTCTCATCACACAATATCATCACTTATCATCACTCATCTCTGTTGCTGTTGTATACTAAAAAACTAATAGTTTTTATCAAAACTACAAATATGAAAAAAATTTTGTCGTTTTTGAATATTTTTATTAAATTGAGATTTGTTTTTATTATAATTAAGTAATTATCATTTAAAACTTTAATTTTTGAATAGTTCAGAGATGAAAATGTTATCGGACGAGGTACACGATAAGTGTATTATTAAATGCAGTTTTTCACGTCAAATTCAAATTAGAGTAATGCAGTCGATGAAAGCATTTGTAACAATTATTGCTATTTTTACTCATAATATTCTGCTTCATAGGTGTGAAATATTTTCACAGCATGCTAATCATTGATATTAATTGTCTATAAAATACACAGTGTATGCAAGGACCTGTTTGTATGCAAACATTTGGAATGTAATTTGCAAGATTATTTTGAGCATTATGCATTCAATGCTGATATGATTTAGGATTTTCTATTCAATTAAGCTTATAGGAAAGTTTTATTTCAGTGTCTGCAATAATTTGAACTGATTAAAATTTCTTCTATTATGCATTTCTTCTGTAAACAGTCAAAAATTCAATTATTGATTCAGTGAAATTTCTCTCCAAGTTTTTGATCGTTCCTTTTGATCGATCATTTTCCATAAATGATTGTCGTTTTGTACGCTTTTCTTTCTAAAACTTGACAATATATACGTGTGTGTCTATTTATGTTTAGTTATGCAAAAATAATGCATGTTTTTCATTCTTTAAGCATACCATTAATATCAACAACAATGTTCAAGAGATCTGTTAAACATTTAACTGATTTTTCAATTAATTTTGAAATCTCAATGCATCGTTTTTCCAATATTACTTTCAATGACCGATGTTATGCGCATGTATCAACATCGACACCAAACTTCTTAAATTGGTTTTTGGCTTCTAACCGAAACTTTACATCAACTGCTGACTCTGATAATGTTGGCATTGTTTCAGTTCAAGAGGTATGCAAACAAAAAATTAAATTTTAAAAAAATTATGAATTTTCAATCTTTTATTTATTAATTAGCAAGAGCGCAGTTTTTTTTTTTTTACATAATTCAACATTTTTTTTCAAAAAAGTAAACAGGAAAAGAAGTAATGTAAAGAGTGAAATGTTTCTATTACTTGAAAGCGCAAGTAAGTATCAGTGAAAAAATGGTGTAAAAAAAGAAAAAAGACAAATTTTCTGCAAAAACTTGTAAAAAAAATGAATGAAAAATAGTGCATGTAAAGTATTGTTGAACATTTTTCAAAACTTAAGGTGAAAAGATATGTGATAGATTGTATGGTTAATACTGGTACATGCAGAGGTCATGCTCAGCAATTGGCGGATGTATTAGTTGCAGCAGATATGCGAGGGCATTACAGTCATGGATTAAATCGATTAGGTTTCAAATTTGCTTTATTTTTTTCTTCAAAATTTGTACCGACAGTTGACATTTGATGTTATGAACTTGATTATTTCAATAAATCTTTTTTTACTATTAACTTTAAAAGATATAAGACTTTTAATATATTCTATTTTTCTCATTTTCTTTTGCTCAGCACATAATAATAGTAAGTGTTAGTGAAAATTAGAAGAGATAGAGTTAGATTTATACGCTTATGTTTAAAAATTGAATGGTAACTTCAGATATGTATATTCGAGATGTGCGAAATAATGTATGCAGAAGAAATGGCACTCCACGAATTTTAAAAGAACGGACTGCAACTGCTTGGGTTGACGGAAATAATCTGCTTGGACCGGTAGTGGGAAACTTTTGTATGGATTTAGCAATAGAAAAGGCTAAAAAAGAAGGGGTTGCTTGGGTTGTTGCAAAAGGTGAGTTTTTCGTAACTAAACATGTTATCATCAGCCACCTATTGAATAAATAAAATTAACACAACAATTTTAAATACTGCACATTAACTGAGTTTATTTAATATACTGTAATTTTAAAGGATCTAATCACTTTGGAATTGCTGGATGGTACAGTATGAGAGCTATGCAACAAGGTCTTCTTGTATGTTTGTCATTTCTATTAATTTGGTGCATTTCGAGAAGCCCAAGATTGTTTTACTGCTTTCAATATATTGTATTTAAAAGTGGTTTTATGATTGGTTTTTAAAGGTCTTGGAGACGATAAACGACTGATTTAAAAGCAGATTAATTTTTACTCTCTATTAGTTTTGAGCAAGGAAATTATTTTTCAAAACTTATTTTAAAACGAAAGTATGTTTTAGAATAAAACGATATTGTATTATTGATTGAAAAAGTGAGCAATGTTTTATTTGGCTTCGTTCAATAAAAAAAGCAAAATAAAGATTGTTGTGTGGTAGTGTAGTATTTAATGCTTCCTAAATTTGTAATAAGATTGGGCTAAAAGAACTAAAAATTGTTTGAAGGGCATGGCTTTCACAAATACGTCACCAATTATGTATCCAACTAGAGCTAATAGACCAGCTCTTGGAACAAATCCTATAACATTCGCTGCCAAAGGTACCAAGGATTCATTTGTTCTTGATATGGCTACATCTACTGTCGCTATTGGAAAAGTTTATTTTTGTTTGTTCTATCATAAACAGTGAAGTTGTTACATTATTTATAGCATTACTGACACAAAGATTTAAGGAATAGTTTCAATAATCTAAAACCATCTATCATTTTTTGAATTTTGGTATTCCATAACTTTGTTATTATTAGAAGAATTTATTTACTGGACAACTTTAGGTTGAAATAGCATCTCGTAAAGAGCAGACCGTTCCGGATTCATGGGGCGTTGATATGACAGGCCATGTAAGTAATGATCCTAAGAAGATCTTAAATGGTGGTGGTCTTCTACCTCTTGGTGGTGCTGAATTATCGGGTGAGTAAATGATTATGCTTTTATCGACAATAAATGCAAGTAATTTTCGGGTAATATTACCACCACAACAAGCAAGACAGTTCTTTTATAATTAAAGAATTCTTGCATATTCATCACAGTCGAAAATGATCGAAAATAATTACCAGTAAATGAAAGCATACTTTTTGTTAGTTGCATGACTTAATCAATATTAAGCATTTTTAATAATTTTAGGTGGTTACAAAGGATACGGACTTTGCGCTATGATTGAAATTTTTTGTGGTATACTTGCTGATGCTCAATGGGGTCCACATGTGCGAAAATGGATGTCTACAACAGTTGAAGCTGATCTTGTCAGATGATTTTTAATAAATACTAATGAATCAAAAAGTTTTGAAATTTTATTTAAAATTAAATTAGTAAACAAAGAACTGAAAACAAATTTCATACTTCACTAATACGCAATAATTATTTATTTTATTATTACTTTTCGCTTTTAGGGACAATGCTTTATTGCCACTGATCCTGAAGCATTTGCTCCTAATTTCCAGGAGCGCTTACAGAAATTCATTGATACAATGAGAGAGTTACAGCCTGTTTGTTTTTTTTACTTTTTTACACACCGTAAGTAGACTAAATCTCAGTCATTAAACAAAGATAATTCAAAAGGAACATGATAGTTGAATTTTATAGTTTAAAGATGATTTGTTAATTAGGACTTTTATAGCTACTCTAGCGTTCTTCTAATAAAATCAGTTTCTTCCAATGCTAGAAGAAAATTACTGAGAAAATAATTTAGTCAATTTTTTGAATCATTATTTACTACTATTTCAGGTTGATGATAAAAATGTGGCAATAGCTGGAGATCCGGAAAATGAGCATTTAGCTTTGGTGGAAAAATCAGGCGGCATACCATATCATCCCAATCAAATTACACATGCTGTAAGTGTATAATACATTTTTAAATTTAAATTTAGCCATATTTATATGTTCTTTATTTCTTTTTGTGAGTAGTACTAGATATTAATAAACCGTTTTAGGACGAATTGGCCAAATCTTTGAGTGTACTGCCAATGAAAGTGAAGACGACAGTGTAGTAAATCAAAATTAATAGATCAACATTATAATCATGATCTAGTCGAAAATTCTTCTACTTTGTATGCTTCTATTTTTCACCTTGTGCTTTTAAAATTTAGATTGATTTTAATACAAATTTGATCCTAAAAAAGATGCATTATTTATATTGATAATAATTCTATCTAAATCAAATTGCAACTCTGAAATTACACGAAATATCAGAATGAAAGCTTAATTGAACTAAGTTTTTACTTAATTGAAGTGTTTTGAAGTGTTCGTTATTTTTTTTTCTTTTGTGCTTTTAAGTGAATAAGTAAACAATATCATGGTTTTGATATCATTCTTAATTTATGAAAAGAATTTTGTGAACAACATCATCTTTTTTGCAGAAGTTAAGTAAATTTAGATTACTATTAAGAAGTGTAAAAGTAAGGATGTAATCAAGAACATACTGATTTCCGGTCCATCTTTTCTTATCTGGGACATTATCACTTCTTCAGTTTATGCATTATTGCTCATTTCACATGAGCAAAATGTAAGTCTTATGTCCATTCTACGTGAGTGGAACAACAACTGATATTTGGCATGAAGAGAAATTCTGGAAGGAAAGAGTTCTTTTGTTTCAGGAATATGCATTCTAGACTTAATTTGTCAATTCATTAAAATTTGCCATTTTCGATGAAAAATTGGAGAATATCGTAGTTTTTATAACTTCTTCCTTTTGCTCCATACATGAATTGAAACTATGGCTTCTGATCTCCGGGATAACGTTACACTGACGTGCTATTGCAACTTATTTTTACTTGTAAGGTTTACAACCTGGACATAATCGATCACGCAATGATTCGAAAAACTGAGGCAAAAATCTTCATGTCCAACACCTTCCCTTATCTCAGTTGCAATAACTTTACTGCAAACAGAGCCGAAAAAATTATCCAAGTATTGATTAAGTCATTCAATTTTTCAGTAATTCAAATATGTATTGACAAACTTAATCGTAAAACTAATAAGCGGTTATTATATGCTTATTATAATCCAGACATTCAATAAGGTTAGTCTGTAAGATATTACATTGTTAAAGGCTAAAATGTTTCATAAAACTTAAGCAAGTGATTTACATTCATAAACTTAACCTATCATTTAATAACTTGACAACACCTTGGTCTTGCAATCTGTTGTCATTCATTCTTCGTAGACTTATTTTGTATTGTCCGAAAGAAGTGGTTAGTCCTGTCCATCTGCAACCATAATATTTGTAGGCATGACCTCTACATGCTCCCCAACCGCAGCCTATTTCTAATGCTCAGTCGTGTGACTTAAGGCTGAATTTCCTGTATTTCCCTATTTGTACCTTTGCAAAAAGTTTCACATTGGAATATCTAATGTATAAGAAGTAACTGTTTCATGGTATTTATTATGATTCAGATATATTATTCAGTTATAATTGTTTTTGAGATGAATCATTTTTAATCTATTATTGATTTTTAAAGCCCGTAATAATTTATATACTTTGAAAGACAGTGCAAGAGTGAGTCATAAATGGGTTGAGGAATAAACATATTATTAAATTATTGTCGAAATCATAATGTTTATGAATATTTCGAGCATTTGTATTGCATTCGCACAAAGCTCGGTTTTGATGGCAATCATGTTTAAACTTATTTGTAGATGACACTATGAATCGGATGAATTGAACAACTGTCTTAATTAATGAATTTATTAATTTGCTTGAATGTCTATAATCTTGTTTCATATCTTCCGACGAACTATATCCTGCCTAAGATTTCAAAGCATAAAAACAAAAAGAAAAGTTGTTTTGCACTTTTAATACAAATTCATAATCTGGGTTAGTCAGCAGTAATTATTACATTTTAATTTCGTTAAAAAGTACAAAAGGTAAAAGGGATTTACAAACTTATCATTCATTTTTTTCATCGAAAACTGAATTTCAAGTTATAACTGAAGCTAAAAATTTCGGTTGGAGCGAACTAATCTAACATACTTTTATTAAACTTACGCTTAGATCGAATAAGTAATCCTAAGAAATTTTATAGCCGTGATTGCACATCATAATCCTCAAACATATATGCTTCATCAAGACCAATTTTAGGATCTAAAAGTATCCAGAAGCAGTATATAACCGGTAATCGGTTTTCTCAAAAGAAGTGTTATCGGTAGTTTTTCTTCACTGAATCTGAATATTTTTCTTTTAATCTGATAAGTATTAGATTTTTCGACCACTTTTCTCATGATCATTAATCACGATTGATTTGAAACACTTCAAGACCAAAAATTCATGAAAAAATTAACCATAAATATATTTTTCCCGGTGTTGACTTTTATATTTTTAAATCAATTTAATTATTTGTATTATTACTGATATAGTGTACTTAATTTGATTTAGTTTAGTTTGAAAATTACCGTTACAATCATTTTTGTAAAATGGTTTAAAATAAAAATGGGGTTTTAAAAAAGAAACTTTTTGCTCAGAAAAAGTTTCTAGAATCAACGTACAAAGTTACTGAAAAAAATTAAAACATTTGAAAAAAAACGGAATTATCTGATGATTACAGCCACTGTTAATCGGAATTTGATGCTTGGCGCTAATATTCACAATAACTTTGGCGTGGCTAATCACCAATGATTGCGTTGAAATAGCTATAACAACTTTTTTTTAATTCAGACAGAAAAGATTATATGAATACATGTACAAAATTAGACAAAATACTTATAGTATTATTACAATTGTGTTCATGCAGATTGATGTTATCTGTAATGTTCATTTATTTGAAATATATTATCAAAAGAATGAGAAATTTTATTATTAAATATTGATCTTTTTTTATTAGGGAGGTAAAGAAATAGCGTGTAATAAACTGTTGTAGATTTAAATCTACATAAGGCTTTTTCAGTGAGATCATTCAAACCACTGACTTATGCAGACTTCAAGTAACATTTAATGCAATCTATATTATAAATGATTCCTCAAATCAACTTTCAATTTCAACCAGTAAAGATTTGAAAAGCTAAAATTTTGTAAAGTGTAGGCGATTAAATCAAACGAATAATTGTATTAAGATTAATAATTTTAGAAATTTGTAATTCCTTGACACTACAATTATAACAGATAATTTTTGGCTATAATTGTCTAGCAAGAAGATGAGACGATTGGAAAGAATGGAAACAAATGAACAAAAACTGAATTTTGATACTTTGGGATCAGTGAGCCCCTGCTTTAACTAATTAAATTTCAGTAATAAAAATACCACAGAACTTAATATTATGTAAGAAATATTGTGGCAAGTTAAAATTACTCACATAATAATACGTAATAGATTGTATAGCTGACTGAAAATCAAAATGGTTATATAGTGATGAATGATTCTGATATTGTGCAACTTTATGACTGCTTGAAATTGAGGGCAGGAAAGTCCCATAAAATAATCACCTACGAGAATGAAACAATTAGCAGCAAAAATTACAATTGCTAAAGCGATTATTCTTTTTAATTAAAAAATATACAAGTTTTTGCTTCTTCAAACAAGTAGTCAGATTAATTTTTTTCTTCATCTAAAATTGAAGATTATTTAAAGTGACAAGTTTTCAATACATGATGGAATTAACCGAAAGACAATGCATTCCTAAACGCAATGTTAAAGGAAGTACAAATCGTTAGATATGTCGAAGATAATAAAGTAAAATGATCGCTGACGAAGTGATGTAATGATATCTTTGGGTCAAATGATCATCATTCGGTTAAGATCAAGATAGCAAAATGAGGTGACCATTGTATCTAATTGACCTAAGAGTATAGCACAAAATGCAATACTTTAATCGTGTATTGAATTCGATTGAATCAGATCACAAAATTTTTATGTGAAAAACTTATACAATTTATTTCAAAAAATTTTTCTATCGAAAATTTTTGAACATCTATTAAAAATTTTTGGAACAATTTTTCACAACAAAGAGATTTGTCTAAAAAGTTTGAAATAATCACTTAATTATGATTTATTTTTAGGCTTATATTTAGTGAATCTGATAGTTACAGATTTGCTAATAAATTATTTTTGATAAAACATTTAAAATATTGTATTAAATACCAAACTGAATATTGGAACTGCTATTTTGACATATTTATTGTGTTCGTGTCATTCAACTTTTATTCTTTTATTTTAGAAATTTTCTCTTATGTGCTTTCAAGTTGCAAAAAAGCTGTACTCAGCATTGTTGAGTTTTAAAATCATCTGGAGTTCAAATTAAGTTCTTTTTCATTTATGGTAAATATTTTCAAATCCACTAAGAAGTATAATAAAATTTATACTGCCAACTTTTTCATGCCCTAACAGAGCAACTTCATGTTGATATAATTCCAAATGAATACCGAATAAACTGAAATTGTAAATGAGTAAATGGAATAATCTGTAAAAAAAATTTTGAAATGTTGTCTTCCATTAATTATATCTTAACAACTATTAACAAATAGTTGAGCAACATAATACTAATATAATTTGCTTATCTTTATTTGTACATACAAGAAATATGTGAATTACTTTATTTAGCTTCATTTTTTTTGATGTTTTCGAGATGTGCAAACCGAATTAAGCAAATTTAAAGATATAAATTGTAATTATGGCTTGAAAATTTCCGTTGGAAGCTGGATGCAAAACAACTAATAATGATTTGCATTTAATTTCAGTTTAGTCTTTAAAGTAATTTTTTGCCTGTAATTTTAGGCAAAAATTTGCTTTAAAAGTTTTAAAAATGAAAGTAAAGTTTTTTTCGAAAATTTTGCAAACTAATTAAAAACTTCAATTGTTTAAAAATATTCAGAAACCAAATCTCCTTTTATTTCTTTGAACCTGACATAAATATCAGTTTAGCCAAACTTTAAATTGAAGCTAAAATTTATATGTGCAATATGAAAGTATTGTACACTTTTAAATAATTCTTGTAATTTTGAATAACAAATATTTGTGATCTGCTTTCATACATTTAATCATATTATTTACATTTAATTCTAAATCAGTAAAATGAATTTGAATTTGTCGTCAATATTTTGATGAAAAATTTAATATTACAACACAAAATCATAACATTGCTAAAATTTTTATTCCGGTCGTATGTTGATAATAGATCAAAATTTTTATCTCAATTTTTTTTCTCTCTTTAACCGCATTCTATCACAGTTCAAATTTCTAAAAATTCACGGTTATCACAACTTTGTTCATCAATCATCAAAAGACTTACTTCACTGATAAACAATTTAAATGACGAATGATATATTTGCTTAACTTTTAGAACTTTTAAATTTTGATGACCTTCAATCGTTTATTTCCGAAGATTGTCCATATTTTGAATTTTCGTCATGGTTAGAAGCTTATAAATTCAACAAATTTAATGACTGTCAATTTTACGGCATAAATTCATAAAGAAAAACTTGCACTATATTGCGCTTGCTTGATTTTTAACCCTGGTTATCAGTACATTATTATGTGCTATATTTTTAATGCTCATTCAAATTTAAATAAATACTAATGAAAATCTTTGATCACTTGACGACGAATATTAACACATAACTCCATAATGAAACAAGTAACTTTATTCTATTACAAATATGAATGAATTTTGTCATTTATTTTAAATCTGATTTATACTTCAGTCTAAAGCAATAAACAAAATTCGTTACTAAAAAGTTACATTCCATTTTAGCTATTATAAAAAATGGTACTTTTGTCAAAAATTTCCCAAAGTTGTCTGCTTTGTTTCCTGTTTACTTTAATATATTATTATAATTTTCCTTTTTTTTCTATCACGAAAATTGCATTAAAAAATTATTGTGGTTGAAATCAATCATTCGCATAACACTAAACAAACATATTTTAATAAATTTTGTGAAGTTTTTGTTTCTTAGCTTTAAAAAGTTTTCATTTTAAGCACTTCTTTGATTAATATAAGCTCTGAGATTCCATTTTTACAACGATTTTGCTACTATCATAAGAATTATCACGAAAAAAACAGTAAGTATGGAAGATTTCTTATAATAGGCTCATTGGTATAACTAATACTAAGTTTAAGCCACAAAAATTTTTGAATTTAATGAAAGTGCTACTTAAATGTATTCATTCGATGGTGTCAATGCAACCGATACCGACGGTCATGGAACTAGCACAGGTTATCTATATTTAATGGTTTATTACTATGCATTTGCCAGGAGAATGATATCGTATGAATGTCAATAGTGTAGTTGGTTATAGATATAAAAACATCTATTTGATGTTGTGATCTCTTATAAATCAGTTCTTTCAAAATAGAAAAAAATTCAAATGCTATTAAATTTTAGACTAACAAAATGGATTATCAAGTTTTAAATAAAGATTTATTTTATGGTCTTTACAGCAGTAACTTCTGACTTTTTGTTTTTTTAACAAGAATTACCATAAAAAAGGTTTCTTTAATTTGAAAAAAAACTAGTTATTTTAATTTTTCAGTCGATTTCATTGCATAAAAATAAGGAAGTTAATTGTACAGCATTATGTTCATGTACTTTAGATATTTTAGATGTATAAAATTCAAGACACGTGGACCTCATCCATTAATGGAGAATTTGGCATTTGTTCTAGAAAAAATTGTGGAACTATTTCTATGCCGATGACTCCTGATAAAGTTTTTGTTTGGTAGCGATCATACATGAAATAGAATGGAAAAGTTGTAATTTAGACTAACTAGCTAGCATTTTAATTATGTTGTAGATAAGATTTTGTTCATTTATGACCAATACCTCATCTATATTGAATACAGAGGTAATAACAAAAAAATCTCAGAACATAATTTTTAACTTTGTAAAGTTGTAACTTTTTATTTCATAATGTGGAATAAATTTTTTAAGGACAAAGCAGTAGTGTGCAACAAAGTGTGTTTAATCATTGCGTACTTGTATCTGAAAACCTTAAAAATTTTAATTTTTGGTTTGTATAATAAATTATACAAAATTTTAAATGAAAAGTAATTTCAATTGCAACAAACTTCATTTCAGCCAATGTGAATTTCAACAAAAATTTGCTTCAACTAATGACTTTCAAGTTCAGCTTAAATTGAAATTTATTAGGGGAAAAAAGCAATTGCACAAAATTTCCATAGGTAAATTATGTAAAATAAAATATATGATAGTTTTGCCACTGTACTACTTAACTACTGCACCACTCCCTTCAATCATCGATCATTCAATTTCATTACAAGTTGCTTAGGAGGCAAGCTATTTGAACCCATCTAAAATGATCAATCAGTCAGTTCAATTTCAATACTCCAAACTTTCAATCCTTTTGATTTGCAAACTGATTACTGCAAACTGAGTGATAAACGAACAAAAATAGCAATCACCCTCGTCCCTCCAAATTAGGACAGATTTTACAAGCTCAATATTTCATCTCAATAAATAAACAAGCAAATATTTTCAATTTATTTTTCGAGAAAAACTCCATACCAGTAACAGAAACAACTACACCTCCATTGCATATATTTGTTGATATATGCAACTAACCCGTAAACCTTGGACTCCTTAAATTCACTCGTTATATTGAGGAATACTATACCAGTAGCTCCTGAATTGCATGTATATCTTAAATGTAACTCAATACCATCAGATCAATCAATTGTCAAATTCAAGTCATATACATGTTGACGCACTTCATACTCCACTCCACCCCTTCGTTTTCAGTATGCGTATTCACTGTAATGATAAAGATGGAAAAGACTAACTAGAACAGATTCACTTTATTCAGAAAATAAAATAAAAAACACTCGCACTATAGCACAGTAAATGAATGAAAATAAACCGACAATAGAGCACAAAAGCAGAAGAACGTGAAGTTATCGCAAGTGAAACTGAAATATCAGTCAGTCAATACCATAACTGCTAGCAAGAACATTTCAAATGGAAAATAACTTAGAAAATAGAACTAAATAAAGCACTGATCAATACAATAAGGGATATCAAAAATTTAGCGCTGAGTGCACACAAAATTATCAGTTACTGATTGATTTTTTTCTGATCAATCAAATCAGAAGAACTTATTTAGCAAAACAACACAGCAACAGTAGCAATCGCAACTACAGTTGACAATTAATTGTAAGCAAAGTTAGAGAAAAAATAATAGACAAGTCCCAACTAGTTATATTCAAAAACAAAAAAAAATTAAAAAAAAGCAAAACATTAAGAGAATAGAGAAAAATGCGTTACAAGTTTAAAATAATTCTTCGTTAATGTTTCACTTTTATTTTATGATAGTAAATTCTATATCAGATAGAATTTTCTGACACCAAATGATAGAGCACTTGTAGAAACACAGTATTACATATTCATGCAATAAGACACATGCACACGCAGGAACAAATGACAAAAATTAACAATGGTCAAATCAGATTCTTCCAGCTTCAGTTTATGAAATGAAGTCGAAAGATCGGGCTTATATATAAGGAATTACAAGGTACAACCATAAAGACACGGAAATGACATCCAAATTACTTATAAATATGCATTACTTCTATTCTTTCACGGAACAATTTCTATATGGTGTAATATGGCAATATCCGTTATAACCACCGTAGCAACACAATACCGAGGTATATCATTAATAAAAACAAATGAATAATTTTGCTTCATAATCCATCTCATTTTTTACGAACAATTTTCCATTTTACTGGGAATTCTCAGAAACAAAGAAGTAGCAATGCCGAATATTTGAAAGAAAGAAAGAAATCTAGAAGCTGAAGTAAATAATGCGCTACTTCCGACTCCAAATTAACAAAACGCTAAAAATGTTATCAAATGAAAAAGAAAAAGACATTTGATGAAAGTGAAGTAAATTACTAAGCAAAAGTTATATGAAACATCAAAATGCTTGGTGAGTTTTTATAAATCAATCATACACTCTTCAATGTTTTTGCATCAACAAAAATTAAATATTTAGAAAGAGCAGTGAAGACCAGTGTTGTTGATCAACTATTACAATAAATGTAGGCAGGAGATGACGATGATAATGATTTGCATAATAATACGCAAATAACTGAATAAATGAATAAACAAATAAATTAATTGAAGAAAAAAATATGTATGCATATATGTGAACGCATTATATCAACAAAATTTACTATCGTGACCATAAATGTAAGAACAATATAATAGGTAATAATAATGATAAGAACTTATATTTCAGACATACGATTAATCACATACTGAAACCAGCTCATGTGATTTGAAATGAAACTATAACGATAAATAATATTAAGACTTTCTTTGGAGATAGCCGAGAAAAACCCAAGTTTCTAGAATTATAATTGTTGCAAAGAACCTGCAAATGCAAGTAATCAAAATTTTCTTTGAGAAATTAAACGTAAAACAAAAGGACCTCGATATACAACTACAAAAAAATATACTAGATAAAAAACACACGGAAATGAATGCACATTTATTTTATTTGTAAATGCAAATGATGTTAAGAAGACAAGAAAAATAACCCAATAATAATATAATCTGAAATGATACGATATATATCAAACAGGACTGAATGTTCCATTCAAAACTGTTTGTTTTTAACACTTAATTTTTTTGCTCTTTTCGTCAACAAGAACTAAGAAAATCTTCTTCATTAGGATGATAATATGCTATTACTCCATTATCTAAAAATTCGTATGATCGTCTAAGGCGAGCAAGGCTAGCTGAACGCTTTGAACGTCGACGAGAACAAACGGATGGTTTTTTAGCACTGCCATCCACATTTTGATCACCAGACTAGAAAGTTATAGTTAGACTGAGAGTCTATCAGCAATAATAATGATGATATGCTCCAAAAAAATTTCAACAAAACAACTGTACTATACGAAACAAGATTTTCATTAAGAAGATTATCAAAATGTGATAAGATGTTCCTTAAAGTGATTGCTTTTAAGTGACTGAAAACCGAATATTTGTTTTTTACTACTTTTTCACCGCAGCCCGTGAATTGTATAGCAGAAACTAACATAACTTTGTACAAAACAACCAACAAACCTTGCTAGAAGAAGCAGTAGTGGTAATATTGGTAGTACCCAAAAAGATTGCAGGACTTGAGAAACCGCTGATGAAACCAGAATCATCATCAATAACCTGATTAGATTCTATACAAGGATGCTGCGAATGCACAATAGGATGTGGTGTATTCACAGTAGGTATTACTTCTGCATTAGGAGGTGTTACAGATGGCGTACGAGGCGATTCAGAAGTTGGTGGTGCTATCAACTTGCTTGGTGATAAATCTCTTTTTTCATAGCATCGTTTAATATTGTTTATGAGAATATGCACCGTATTCATGTATGGATAAAGAATTTGCTGCAAAAGAAAAGTAGTGCTATTAATATTATAACCACACATTTCAAGCAAATATTTAACCACACATTTCAAGCAAGCAAATAATTACCGGATCACATCGTAGAGTATTCATAATAGCATCTTCCGCATACAAGACCATATCGGCAGAAGCAGAAGTATTTGCTGAGTACAGCAAACATATTGCTGCTTGCACTGATGGTACCAGAGATGCAAATTTCTCATCTGAAACTTTTTGTATGCAACTTATGTATTTATATAGATACTTCTTAACTTATTCAACGTTCTCCATTCAAACTTGACTAATTCTAATTTAAATTTGTGAATTTCATTAACACAAAATAAGAAAAAAAACTCAATATGTAATTTTTAATATGCTTAAAAACTCCATTGCTACCACTGTTCTGGATAAGTACAGTAACAGAAAAAATGATAAGAAAAGATAATGCATTTGGAATGACAAAAAATAAATTGGGATGAAAAATTTTTTGACTGAAAAATTTGCCTACTTAAGATGACAGCAAACTTAAATAGTGATTATAGTATGCCAATGGTTTGCTAACCTCACCCGAAATAAATTTCTTAATCCTTGAATAAGCACAACAGAATTAAAATTTTAGCTTTTAATAACTCCAAAAAGTTTGTGAGTGGTGTTTAATAAGTAGTACCTCACTGCTAAGAGTAGGAAAATAAGCTCAACTGTAACTTTGAGAGGATATGAAAATCAAATATGTCATTATCTAGTGATGTGTACAATCGTTGCTGTATTCTTCGATCCATGTTTTGCATAATCTATTGTAAAATCAAAATCTGTCACTAGAAAAGATTATCCCTTGTAAAAAATGTGATGATGAAAAAATATACATCATCCGATACACACACCTTTTTTCATACAAAAGAAAGTTTTTCAATGACTGATAAAAATCAGAAATCTTTTTTCTTTGCTGAAAATTAATTTATTTCATAAACCTAATACAAAAGAGTGAAATATTTTGGATGGTAAGGACTAAAATAAAAAATAGAACATGCATTTAATGAAGTAGCACTTTCACATCTGCAAATATGCTCCTGTTCTTCCCAACTTCTGTTTGCTCACTCTTATAAAGATAAAGATTGAGTAGTAATTGACTTGAAAAAATAATAGAAGATTAAATCTACAACAGAAGTTACAAATCTAATAATACAAGTTACAAGTCTATGCTATTAAAATATAAGAAAAATAGTTAGCAAAAATTTCTCGAAACTGAGTCAATTTTGGAAATGATCATTAACTTCAGTAATGCTTTAATAAGTCTTTATATACAATAAAATCTACACAATAAATCATAAAAAGAAACAGACATTACTTAAGCATAAAAGTTCAATGTAACAGACTAGATGTCTGTCTTGCTACATATATTTCCCTTACAGAATTTTGTACTTTTCAAATTTTTAATTGACGTTTTATTTGCCATGAACATGGATATTATAGTTTCAACTTGGTATTGGAATTTTTTTTAAACTTCAGTAGGTAAAAAGACATTTGCAAACCCACTGAAGCAAAAAATGTGAATGTAAATCTTAAAAATATTTCAAATGCTCTAAATGCATGCTTCTATGCATTGTTCAGCTTGCAAGATGATTATTCTGTGAGTAAATTTGTATGCCAAATCATTTTTGTCATTTGACAACAATTATTTGCCATAATAAGTCATCAGACTTAATTATGCTTTACTGTTTAATATAGTGCTGAATTTTTTATAAGGAAAACAGCAGCAGAAATATGCAAGAATTAATCGTGACATACATGACTTTATATAGAGCATATTGAATGAGTGAATGAATGAATGAATGAATGAATAGATAAGTAGATTAATGAATGAATAAATAAATGAATGAAATTAAGATAGATGAATAAATGAGTTAATGGGACAAGGGAACAGAGGACAGGTGCACCTGCATCTCCCAGCATGCCATCGGAAGAGGAGACCTCCAGGAGAATTGCAGGTCATCCTGAAATGCCATCAAGCGGAGCAAATACACCAAGTACCGGAACCGTCTAATCTGTCTAGCTTTAGCACCAAGAAGTTTAGAAGCAAAATGAACAAGAACTGCCACTCTTGACAAATGACATATTTTGGAATAGAAACAAATGGATACAGATGCTCTTGCATACTGCAATCTAAGCAACAATCGTTTCAGCCAATAATTATGCAAATTTATTGCATTCTATTACACAGCTGCTTTATCATTTTCCTTTCTTTCACTTCATCAAAAAACAAAAAATGAACAAATCTGTACTGACTTTTAATTATGCTTGCATATAAGAATTTGTATCTCTCAGATATAATGTGACGACAGTAGCAACTAATGTGACAATTTGATCGAAATCAAATATATTGATAAATAGGATTCTATTTCTCTTATTAATATAAAATCATTACCATAAACTTTTGAAATATCCTTACTGTAGTCAATTAATCATTCATGAATAATATTACTTTATTTCATATATAATCCTACCTAACTATAAAATTTGACAAAGTACTTTCTGACATCAGTGGTATGGTAAAATCGTCAGTAAATAGAGGTTAAAGGGCCATAGCCGAAAATATGAACAAATTTTTTATTTGTCATTATGCTTATACGATTGTAAATCACTGCGGTAACAACTGTGCACTGTAAAAAAGTAACCACTTTGAATCTTACGTCCACCTAACCATTTCTTAATGTCATTTTTGTAAGAAAAAGTGCCTTCTTTGTTACACAAAGCAAAATATTTGGCGGTGCAGTCTTTTGTTTTTTCGGCTCGTTTCAATTACATCATTGTCTTGTTTTCATTTTTTGAAACAACTCAATCCATTAATCGTCGCCATTTCAATGGAAAATAAAAAACAATCTGCGCACGAGTCATACTGCGGTTTGCATAATTAACTAATTGAACATTTTGACAAATGAGTATTTATTCAGTTATTGCTCACTCATAAAATCTGGCTTGTGCTTTAAGACTATAACGGATTTTCACAATGCTATTCAGATGAATATTTCTGAATTTTAAATCATAAGAAATGAAAATACATAATTATTCTTGAGATTGCTACCCAATAATATGTATGATGGCTGAATATTATTAATTCAGTAAATGTATATATAAAAATTATTTGAATACAGAATGCAGTTAATAAATGCATGAGAGAGAATACAATTCGACTAGAAGAAAGATTGAAAAAAAAAAACGCTTAATTATTATGATGATTAGATGTGAAATGACAAGCTGAAAACTGAAATAGATTGATAGTCACAGAATTTCATTAAAAATTCAAGTTGTTTTACTCGAGAAATTTCCTAGCCCTAATCATTATGATTATTTCATACATCAATTCAAATCCATCACAACGTCTGCAACTTTTTCCCTCAGTTTTATTATTCACTAACAACACTACTATATTCAATGATGAATTATTATAGATAAAATAAACAGCCTTGAAGATATGTGCAATGCTGCTATAATAATAACAGTAAATGCTACAGTAAACCTTCACAAAAACTGAACTAACACAATTACTTTTCAATTACTAAAAGTTCAGCAAGGATATAAAATACATTACTGTTATTAACCCAGTACAAGAGAAAAACCTGTACTGAATAAAATCGGCATAATATAAAACGTACTTACATTTATTATATTCTTATCTTTTCTGTATGTTCTTCTTGCATTATTTCGAGGAATTTTTAAAATCTCTTCTGAAGTCTTCACATGAACGGTAGATTAATTTCACGGGTAGATAGATAGATGGATGTCTAAACTAGGCCAAAACTCAAAGATTTTATCTAACGTTAAAGAGCAACATTTGCATTTAAAATCTTTACAGTGTATGCTAGGCAAACCATTCAAGTCAATTACTAGCAAATAATAAAATCTTAGACTTCCTATAACCAATTAAGGCTAAAAATAAGTTCTAAGTAGATTTAAGTTGGATATAGTTCCTTTATCAAGAAGTCAGAATAGAAGTAATCTTTACAATTATGATCGTTATTAGAAGACATGATACTTACATTATAGTGTTTGCATGAAATGCTTGTACTGATTAATCATTCCAACTCTTTTTTATGTATGTAAATGAATGAATTAAAATACAACAATCCTAGTAAGCATCAAGTTGTTACTTGATACTACAATCGTCTTACTGTTGATCAAACTACTCACTAATAGTCTTTAAGCTCTCGAATTTTGACGGATAAATGTATCTGTACGCTTGCAAATTTATTATTTTTCCAATGTATGTACGATTTTTTTATTGTCTCTCCACTTCAAGTGCAAGACAAATAAACAAAATGACTTATCAACCAAAACCAGTACTTTAATGTACTTCGTATAAAATCATTATCCACTTCAAGCTAAAAGTATAAAAAATGATTGAAAGTTAGTAAACAAATGACTTTGCACTTGCATTTATTAGTAAGTGCGCTGCGGAGTATGTATGTCTCATCTCTATTCTAAATCTTTACATTTATGAACTACGACCTATCTTATTTCAGGTCTTATGTAAATCATCTGCCTAATAGCACAGTGCTCGGATAATAGAAAAATAATAAACCAAAGTACTTCTTTATTTACCTAATGACCACTATGATATCAATAACTCTCAGAATGATAATGATCTCCTGCTGAGAAGCAAAAATCCCTTCCATTTTCCTAGAATCATACCATAGATTTTTGCAGTCATATTAATATCCACGCTATTTGCCATGAACGATCAATACTAATTGAAAAGTTTAGAAATTATGTTAATTATTGAATTTTAACTGTTATATGGATTTTCGAATGTTTAACGGATATAGCAGTGCAAAGGTAATAATCTTTTTTTCGGAAGTCCCCTTCGTTTCCTAACAGGCGTTTTCTTCTGCTTGTGCGGTTTTTAATCAAGTCAATAGCTCAGGTAGTCAGTGGTCAGTCACTGACCAAATGTTAGGAGTTAGATTATTCTTGCATTTTAACATGGAGTGCAAGGATAAGAGCACAATGTATGTATATATGAGGGAAATGGCAGGTAGAGTAATCCAATCATTCATTCCTATATACCCAAGCTATCTATCTACCTTATCCTCCGTGCATCAACACTTTCCTCCTTCAATTTATTTTACTCTTTTTCACAAGCTTTTTCCACTCTTCTCTTCTCTAACCTTTGACCTATTGTATTTCCACATTACCTCAATAGATAATCACCCTAAGAAGTCGGTAAAAAAGTGACGCAATATCAATAATAATTGTTTCAACTGATACAGTGACATGCGTTACACCACACATTCCAGATTGCAATTGGTTTGAGAATGTAATCAACACTACTAACAATATATTTTTAAACTACTAGTCACGTGTTCTCACGTCACATGTCGCTGAGATGTTTGTAACAAAACCAAAACCACAACTGCAGTAAATGCCAAAATTTACGTAGAAATTGACTGAGCTTTGAACTAAACAAAATAACATACGTAATACATAAAAGAAAAAGTGATTATTGTGATTAATTATTTTTAATTTATAAAGATAATATATGATTACAAATAAACTCTGAAAACTACTTCCTTTTACTTTCCATTAATCTCGCAATTTCTAAAGGATTCAGGCACCTTTATTGGACGAGAAATTTTAGAATCAATGCTTTCAACTGTTTTTATTACAAAAGAATAATAGCCACCTAATATATTTTTGATTATACTCCCTGCAGAATAATATGATCATGAGTTTATTTGAGAGTTTTGAAATCAGATATTTTCTTCCACATAAATTCTGATGTTTTTCATGCCATACAATGTACTTTGTTCTCATTCAAAATTCATATTCTGAGTGAAAGATTTTAGAAGCGTAATTTCTTGCCACACTCAATCTATCTTTGAAGTATTATATGGTCT